CATACCTATCTAATAATAGGATATACCTTTCCATCCATTTATATTTACTTTTGGGATTTATTCAAAGCTTTTACAAATGCTTACATTAGATCTGGGAACATTTCTTCCATTGTATTTTTTCTCTTTGAAATACACTAGTTTTATAGTAGTTTTAGGTTCACAGCAAAATTACACCAAAATACAGAGTTTCCCCTTTCTCTACACACACAGAGCCTCCCCCCACTATCAATATCTTGCACCAGAGTAGCACATAGGTATTACTGTAAAAATAATCTATTTAGAAGAGAAAAATACAATGGAAGAATTTTTTCCTAAGTTTATAAATTAAATGCAGTTCAAATATACCTATATCGTATATAGGTATATTTTAACATATGTGCTATGTTATATGTGTTAGAGTCAAAGTTCTCTTTGATTCAAGAGCTGTTTTAAAGAAAGTGTTTAGATATTGTATATAGTTACAATTGATGAACCCACATTGATGTATCATAATCACCCAAAGTCCGTAGTTTACATTAGAATTCAATCTTGGTATTGCACATTCTATGGGTTTGTACAAATGTATGACATGTGTCCATTATTATAGTGTCATGCAAAGTACTTTCACTGCCCTGGCAATCACTGATCTTTGTATTGTCTCCATAGTTTCGTCTTTTCCATAATGTCATATAGTTGGAATCATACTGTATGTCCATTTTAGATTGCTTCTTTCAATTAGTAATATGTATTTAAAGTTCTCTATGTCTTTTAATGGCTTGATAGCTCTTTTTCTTTAATGCTGAGTAATATTCCATTGTCTGGATGTACCACATGTTATTTATCCATTCCCCTACTGAAGGACATCTTGGTTGCTTCCAGGTTTGGGCAATTATGAATAAAGCTGCTGTATACATCCGTGTGCAGGATTTTGTGTGGACATAAGTTTTCAACTCCTTTGGGTTAAATCCTAAGGTATGCAATTGCTGGATCATATGGTAAGAGTATGTTTGGTTTTTAAGAAACTGCTAAACTGTCTTCCAACTTGCTGTACCATTTTGCTTGCCCACCAGCAATAAATGTGAGCTTCTATTGCTCCATATCCTCATCAGCATTTAATGTTGTCAGTGTTTTGGACTTCGACCGTTCTAATGAGTACGTAGTGGTATCTTATTGTTTTAATTTGCATTTCAGTAATGACATATGATGTGGGGCATCTTCTTCTCATATGCTTATTTGCCATCTGTGTGTCTTCTTTGGTGGTGTCTGTTCAGGTCTTTGGCCCATTTTTTATTCAGATTGTTCATTTTCTTATTGTTGAGTTTTAATAATTTATTGTATGTTTGGGATAACAGTCCTTTATCAGACATGTCTTTTACAAATATTTTTTCCCAGCATGTGGCTTGCCTTCTTATTCTCTTGATAGTATCCTTCACAGAGCAAAAATTTTTCATTTTAATGATGTCTAGTTTGTCAATTCTTTTTTTTCATGGACCATACCTTTAGTGTTATATCTAAAAAGTCATCACCTGAGTTCTGGTTCCAAAATGGCAGTGAAGAAGCAAGCTGGCACAACTCCTCCTCACCATCACTGCTAGAAAACCAAAAACATATATATGGCACTGAGATTATCACCAGAAATACTCCAGAACTCAAATATGAAGATAAGACATTTCCAAGAAAAACAGAGAAGTAAAAAGTTATCAACAAATTTAGAGTCAACTAGGTTTTCTCCAATATTATCTTCTAGTAGATTTTTAGTTCTGCATTTTACATTTAGATTTGTGATCCATTTTGAATTAATTTTTGTGAAAGGTGTAAGGTCTGTATGCCTAGGTTCTTTTTTTTTTTTTTTTTTTTGCATTTGGATGTCTAGTTATTCCAGCAATACTTGTTGAAAAGACTATCTTTTCTTCATTTTATTACCTTGCTTCTTTATTAAAGATCAGTGGGGTATAATTATGTGGGCCTTCTTCCACACTCACTATCCTATTTCATTGATCCATTTATCTGCTCTTTTGTCAGTACCACACTGTATTGATTACTGCAGCTTTATAGTAAGTCTTAAAGTTGGGTTAGTGTCAGTCCTCCGACTTTGTTCTTCTTCAACATTGTGTTGGCTCTTTTGGGTTTTTTTGCCTCTCCATATAAACTTTAAAATCAGTTTATCAATATCCACAAAATAACTGCTGGGATTTTGACAGAGATTGAATTAAACCTTTAGTTCAAGTTGGGAAGAACTGGTGTCTTTGATACATTGAATAGTCCTATCCAAAGACATGGACTATCTCTGCGTTTATTTAGTTATTCTTTGATCTCTACCTCACTCCATATAGAAAATAAATTCCAAATAGATAAAATATTTAAACTTATAACATTAAACCATCAAAATACTAAAAATACAAGAAGAAAAGGTGATATATATGCATGTATGTGTATGTATATATTTTATATCCTTTTTCCTACCCCTTACTGCCCATCCCTCTGGATGCCTTTCTAAGCATTATGCAGTATCCAGAAGCCAAATAAGAATTAGATAATCACATAAAAATTTTAACATTTTTAATTAAATCATTTAAAATCTGTAGCACAAAACACCATAAAGTCAAAAAACATATATTTTTAAAAAGACCACACATCAAAAAATCAAGTGGCTAATATTTTGTCTTAAAAATGCTATAGATTGAAAAAATAAAAGGAAAAAATGGGCTGTTCCTTAAATAAGCAGTTGCAGGAAAGAAAATAAAAAATAATTCTTAAGTATAAGAAAAATATGTTCCACTTTTCTCATAGTAAGACAAATGCAAATTGAAATTATAATATGCTCTCATCTTTGTCCCTGTCAGGCTGGAAATATCAAAAATATGATAACACGTTATATTGGTGAAGATAAATAGGCACTCTGTTACATTGCTGTCAGGAGAATAAGTTCATACAAACTCCATAGAGAGTAGTTTTGCAGTAACTATCATAATTAAATATTCATTCTTTGCAAAGCCAAGTCTACCTTTAAAAATTAATTTTATAAATATATCCACATTTATTTGAAAGTATGTGTGTAAAAATGTATTACTTGCAACTTTATTCAATATTAGCTAAAGATTGGAAACAACCCAAATACATTCAAGGAATTGGTTAAATAAATTATGGCACATAACATGCAATGGAAACCCAAGTAGCCAGTAATAGGTATGAGTCAAATCTAAAAATTAAGACAAATGAACTCTAATATACATTTTAAGTAAAAAACGCTGGTGTAAAACAGTTTGTATAATAAGATTCCATTTGTATATGTATTTTACAATAGAATATGTATACATACACTCATGTTCTAGCACATACCTATTACATACCTGGAAAAATATATGGGAGATAGGTAGCAGTGGTTGCCTCTAGGAAGGGGAATTGGGCCTGGGAAAACAAGGTAAAAAGGAGACATTATACTGCATTTTCTTGTAGATGTTTGCATTTATATCATTTACATATATTTTCTATCAAAAAGCTAGTTAAAAACAAAAATTATATATATACATCAGAATATTTTATTTCTCTTTTGACAAAAGTTACTATATTTGTTATCCTTAAACTTTTATTTGCAAAAAATAAATGTTAGTATTTTCCTGATGCCTTATAGGGGAACCAGAGTTTGTAGACAGAACATTCAGTCTTCATTGATTGACAGGCAACCTATTCTTGCAGGTACTAAATAACTGCAGGTAAAGTTGTAAGAACCTCTGAAAACTTCACTTAGTAGACTAAGGGTACATACTTAAACTTGAGTCCTCCCTTCTTCTGATCATCCACTCTGAAAAATATGGTTTTAAACCTCACAGCAATGAGAATCTCCTTGAAATTTGAGGTCTCTGTCCCTCACAAAATAATTATGACTGCAATTTTCTTATTGCAGTTTATATACACCAAAGCTGTAATTAACTGTACCATAGCTTGCTGACCTTAATGAGTTAATGCAGTCTCCAAATAAAATTCATGGCCAAGTGGCAGCTTAGGCTCTGGAATGTTTTGGCGCGGTAATATCTGTGAAATCTGAGCTCATATTAAATATGCCTTAAAACAATACATTTGGGATTTGGCGTCTGGAATCAGATCAGGTCTGACTCTGCTGTATGAGGTTGATGGTTTTGCCTCAGGCCTTCATAATATGGTTAGCACTATAGGACTATAGAATCAGCAAGAATTTCATTATTGCTCCAGTGAAGAAAAACACTTCAGTTTCTATTGAGTTTATGGCACCCTGACTTCTTTCTTATCATTTTTCTTGAAACAGGAGAATCCTGCTGTCTCCTGCACTTACAGCTATCTTCTTCCACCCCCACCTCCATCTAGTAATTTCTTTGCAGCCTAGCTTTTCTCTCCTTCTTACTCACATAAATGACATTTGTCCAACCGTGGACTGTCTTTATCTTTATATGTTCAAGTAAGCCAACCATGCATGGCTAATGAAGTGAACAGGACATAGTTCCAGTTATCTCAAATCTTAGAAGAGGTTAAAGCCCCGTCAGGACAGCAGTAACTATTTGATTGGTCATTAGGGTTGGTCACTGCAAACTATCCTGGCTAGCTTGGCCAGGAATCACTTGTCAGTCCTAGAGGGTTAGATTTTATGTCCTCTCAGAAACAATTCCTTTTCCCCTCATCCTTGTTAAATGAGCTATCCTTTGTCTTTATAGGCACAGTCTCCATCTTCTCGGTGTGTCACAGACTGAATAACTCATTAGGACATGGTGGTAATTAGCCTAATGTACTTTGATTAAGGCCATATTTGAACCACTTTTAAAACTCATGGCACAGTTCCTGTATCAGTAAAACGCAATAATTAATAAATATGGGATGCTTAACTAAACTCAACACAGAAACCATTTGTGTTAAAAATTTTTCTTTAGAAATCACCTTTCAATTTAAGGAGAAAGCAAAATTTAAATCCTCTAGCTCCTGTTTCATGACAAGAATTTATGTTAACATCTCTTAGTCCTCTCTTTAAAATATCTGTATTCCTTTTATTTTAGGAATTTCATATGCAGAATAAATGGTAATTAAAATGTGCAGGATGACAAGATGGAGCAAACAGTGCTTGTACCACCAGGACCTGACAGCTTCAACTTCTTCACCAGAGAATCTCTTGCGGCTATTGAAAGACGCATTGCAGAAGAAAAGGCTAAGAATCCCAAACCAGACAAAAAAGATGACGACGAAAATGGCCCAAAGCCAAATAGTGACTTGGAAGCTGGAAAGAACCTTCCATTTATTTATGGAGACATTCCTCCAGAGATGGTGTCAGAGCCCCTGGAGGACCTGGACCCCTACTATATCAATAAGAAAGTGAGTGTTTTTTATCAGGCGTATTTTGCTGCTAATTGCCTGCTTCATTCCTTGGACTGTTGTAGCACCAACACATGCTGAATTAGCACAAAATCTTAAGTATCCTTCTGTTTAAGAAATGAAACACATTTGTGGGTGGTTTATGCATATACATGAGAAATGAATTGATTATATCATAACACACGGAACTGTCCCAAATGCACCATGACAGATAAAAAGAGGCCGGGTGTGGTGGCTCAAGCCTGTAATCCCAGCACTTTAAGGGGCTGAGGCAGGCGGATCATGAGGTCAGGAAGTTCAGACCATCCTGGTCAACATGGTGAAACCCTTTCTCTACTAAAATACAAAAACTTAGCTGGGCGTAGTGGCACGCGCCTGTTATCCCAGCCACTCGGGAGGCTGAGGCAGGGGAATCGCTTGTTGAACAGCGAAGGCGGAGGTTGCAGTGAGCCGAGGTGGCGCCACTACACTCCAGCCTGGAGACAAAACAAGACTCTGTCAAAAAAAAAAAAAAGAAAAGAAAAGAAATGAAAACAAGGAAGGAAGGAAGGAAGGAAGGAAGGAAGGAAGGAAGGAAGGAAGGAAGGAAGGAAGGAAGGAAGGAAGGAAGGAAGGAAGGAAGGGAGGAAGGGAGGGAGGGAGGGAGGGAATGGGCAGCTAATTTAATAAATTGACAGATTCTCTCCACAAATTAGATTTACTGTACAATTTTTTGTACTTTCTGTACTTGGAAATACTTGGAAATCTCAAAATCATGAGTTATAAAGACTACAGAAAATATGAATACTAATTTTTCATGCAAACAAATTTGATGCCACAAGGGTTTGAAATTCCTATGTCATGTTATAAACAACAAATCAATTAATTTCCTGAAGAAATTTTTTTACCTGTAAATTAACATTTTTACATAAACTAGAATTTTACAAGTTATTTAATATTTTGGTATTAATGTATTAATATTGGCAAGAATAACAAAAATGTCATAACCTGAAAAACCTATAAACAATATTTGAATGCGTGCTTTTTTTATATCCATGCTTGAAATGAATACCTTATATTAAGCATCCAACCGTTCATTATGACTGTCGTTTCAGCAAACCAAAAAGAAAAGCATAAAAAGTTTTAAAAAGATTATTGCATTGATTTTAAATTAAATGTATGACGTTAGGTGATTTGTAATATTTTCTTATTTTTCACCTGACACAATGCATTTGTGAATCTTAGTGGAAAGACAGGGCACAAAGATTGTAATTAAATAATTTTTTTTGTTGGACCTGGACCTTAAAATGCCCCCTAAACTTTTAGGTACTGTTTCTGGCCCAGTTCTGTGTGAAGTTAGTCCTTGTCAAATGCATGCAAAAGTTTGGCATTTGTAATATGTGAATTTGAGGCAGTTTTATAAATCACTTCTGATTGACAGCTACAGTTTCAGAGGCAAGAGCTTCACAAAAGGTTGACTAGCCTTAGGTTCAGATTTTTTTTAACTTTTCAGGATATAATCAGTTTAAGTGTAATATATTTTCCCTTTTTAAAAACTGGTCTATTCATTTTACAGTAGAGGAAGGAATGGATCATTTTCCATGTATTTCATTTTCTTCTAACTTTGCTTTTGAACACCATATTGTCAAATCTTAGTTAGTAAGAGATTATTAATCTCATAACTGCCATTTAAGTTATAAGAAAAGTTGCACTTTATTATTTAATCAGCTCTTTGGAAATTAATATATCTGAAAAGCCAAAGCCCAAATTAAGCAAACTACGAGAACTTTATTTGCATAAGAAAAGTAAAAATGCAGATAATCCAATTGCTTAAACATTTTAATTCATTTAAAATGACTTCAGTATTGAAGTGAAGACTCTGATGTGTTCCAGGCAGAAATTCATTCACAGCGTAGAGTGTACTACTGTGTTTATAGCCATTGGATACTTCCAGTTTATTCAGAGGCTGCTCTTGGGATGTCTTAGTGGTCTCCATCCTCAACAGACCTTTCGCTACCCCTAGACACCCCGTCCTCACCTCTTTGGTGGCAATCACAATCTAAAAATTATTAAAACCACCCAGCATCTATCCCTTAATCAAACAGGGAAGAAATTTAGTATCTCTGCTCCTAGGCTGGGTCTTTATTTGTAAAACAAAAAATGAATGTTTTGAGAAAGACCAAATTAATGCATGTTGACAAAGGTAGACATTCTTCATCTGGAAACCAGAACATCCAATCAATCTTTTTTTTTTTTTTAATTAAAGAACTTTCAGACTGATGAAAGTGATTGTCTCGAGGGGATGTCTCCAAATAAAATGGTCCATAATTGGTCTATAATGAATTATATATAGCAAAGGATATAAAGACAGATGTAAATCAAAATCGTGCAAACATTTTCAAAATACTCAAAAGAAACATCTTAAAACTGAGGGTGAAAGGCCAACTCTGATGAAGTGACAGCCAGATTCTTGTGTTGAGGAAACCCTTATAAACTTTGTTAGGCTCACATCTAAACTTGCTCTTAACATCTTCTGTCCTTATCTTCAAATGCACATGGTATGAGGAAAGAAAAGCATTTTGGCATTTTGGAACAAATCAGTGTGCAAGTAGAACAACCTGATAAGAGAAATATTGTTATCAGGAAAGTGTTTTCCCCAAGGTAAGCTATATTCATGGCTTTTACATTGAGCTGACACCAAGCAAATCTTCAAATGTAAGTCATTCAACAGCAATGCACATCAAGCTTTTTGCAGGGCTGAAATCCTTAAAAACTAACATGGTGTGCTTAGAACACATGATGGAGTTATGTGTTTGAAATTTTCTTCTTTTGTGTTTTTATGTCTTAAGACTTTTATAAGTTGCCTGTATGCTTTTTTCTGTCTTTAATTTTCTTTTCTAATTGGATTATTTCAGTATAGAAGAATATTCTTAAACTCTGAATTAATTTGCTCTAAGTAAAGTTGGAATGCTTAGCAAAATCTGAACTTTTTTAAAAAATGAATACTTCTTTCAATATTCAAAGACTAATTTTATTTTAGTGACTGGGTTACCAGAGATTGGCTGGGTGATCTTCATTAAAACAATGCAGTACATATATACAGTACCCTTGACACAGCTAAATGGTCAAATAGTGGAAATGTCACCAGGGAAAATGTTTATTAGGATGAGATTTTCCACTAATGCTGGTATTGGGGGTGTGGATTAGGTTGGCCTGAGTAAAATGGTATATGCAGTTAGACTAGTGATTTCCTTAAAGTTGGACTCTAGTACAATAGTTAATGTGTCTTTGCATCAGTATACAAAGACTCTGGTTTTTTTCTCAACAATATAGAATAAACAAAACAAGCCAACTGTAAAAATATTTACAGAATCAATTCCTTATGTTATATTTTACATTAAAGTGCAGTAGTGTACATGCAAGGAATTTTTGTGAATAAAAACAACACAACCACCACACTGAAGCTCTCTGTAATCTTTTACACAGGCAATGTCAGTGAGCTTATAAAAATGTCACTTCTGAGGGTGTATTTTCCAATGGCATATGCCCACATATTTTTATCCTCTTTGTCCCAGTTTAAGATGTACAAATTATATAATTTTCAAATATTCTACTAAAATTGTTGAAGTAGTTTAATCCATGTTCAGTAATATTGTAGTAGTAACTGAAGAAATAGTAGCAACCATCTCATGAACATTCCTGATGCATAGAAGCGTTAGAAGGTTTTTAGATCCTCAGATGTTTTAAGCCTTCATAATTCCAGGTTAAAAACTCAGGGGAAAAAATTCTATCATAATACGGTGACAGTATTTTTCATATCATGTTAGCTCTGACTTAGTGATCTTTAGAACATGATTCCACATTGGGTTCCCTTTGTTTGTTTATTTACTTTAGCTGTGTAGCAAGGCACATTTTAGCTTGTGAACACACCTTTTTTTCCCTCATGGAACTTTTTTTCACAGTTTCCTTTCATTGCTTGAGCTGATTTTGTACCATTTGGCTCTACATTCAAATTCTTTACCCATTCTTTATTACAGAAAATGTCTTTCTTCTCATGTTCTTGTTAAAATTACAGATGACTCATTATTATCATGGAAGAAAATATCATTTTAACAATGTGACAGTTTACTGGAAATAGAATGAGATATTTTAGATCTGTAGTAAAAATGGATGTTTGTTAATTATGAAGTGCAGAAATGTATTCATTTTTAAACAGTCTTATGGATCATTTCAAAGTAACTTATTCTCTCTTTCTGTCAGCTGTTCTAAAAAGATGCACACTCTCTTTTTGTTGGGCTGCATGAGAAGTCATATATGAATTTGTGATTTCAAATTCATGTTTGGTATATGACTGCCATGGGAGTTTTTAGTTGTTAAACTGGGTGGAGAGAGTTTGTTTTGTTTTTAATTGAGATGATGGAGTTTTCCTTGCAAAAGTAATTAATGGGAAATCAGAAAAGTGGATGATTATTAAAAACTTATAATTCCATGAATTGTCATATGGGCAGTCCCCAGTGTGTAGTTGTTCTTTGCTTATCATCAGCTTCTCTAAAACTTCAAGTCACCCAGATTCTCCCTTACATCCACAACCCTGTAGTTGACTTCCCAATCTTTCTCCTCCCTATGCACTGCTTCTTCCTTGTGCTTCTTTTTCCTTTGTCACCTCCCTGTCTCTGTCTCAGAAACAGTCCCAGGATGGTGATGTTGATAAATAAAACGATGGTTGGCATTTTTAGAGTATCTGCCATATCAATAGGAGATCCTTCAATTGAAAGTGACCAAAACCCAACAGAAACAACTTTTGGGGAAAAATAAAGGAAATGTGTCTAGCGAATCTGGTTTTAATATCAAAACACCCAGTACCTCAAACGATATCATGAGGGTAGTCCTTTTTCATGGTTACCTCTGCTTTCAACTATGCTGGCTTCATTTACAGGCTGGCTCTTCCACAAATGGCAGAAATAGCCACCAGTGGTGCTAAACTAACATCCTACAGCCTTGTAACTACTATCTTCTGCTCA